GGCCGGGAGCGGCCACTGCACTCCAGTCTGGGCAACAGAGTGAGAATCCAACTCAAAAAAAATAAAAAGTAAATTAGAAGGAGAAAGAGGAGATTCACCTCCCCAAGGTAGGGGAGGGGGCCAAAGCTTAAGAAAGCATGACCATAGCTCAGAGTACATGGCCACACCTCAGAGTACATGGCCACACCATAGCTCAGCAAGCGAAGGCTGCAATGGCCTGGCAATGACCTGGCAATGGCAAGGTGGCTGCTGGTGGTTGAGTCCTTTTAACTGTTTCCCTTGGATGGGGGAAGGTCATTAAGGTGATTGGATCGTCACAAAGGAGCAAGTAAAGGCAGGCACTGCCATCAGGTGAGGACATCAGGCAGATGGGTGGGTTAGTCACATGAGTCTTAGATCTTGAGGGCGCCAGACATTAGCATCTCATGCCCTCAGGTGAGCTAGATGCGAGATGAGGGGAGGGGGTTTTCTTGCAAGAGACTTTGTCAGACATTTGTAATCCACAAACTCCTTGACCAAAAAGGTGGTTTGATATTTCTTTTTTTTTTTTTTTTTTTGAGTTGGAGTCTCACTATCGCCCAGACTGGAGTGCAGCGGCCGCTTCCGGCCACCGCAGCCTCGACCTGCTGGGGCTCCGGCGATCCTTCCGCCTCAGCCTTCCAAGTAGCTGGAACTACAGGCGCGCACTACCACGCCTGGCTAATTTTTTTTTATTTATTGTAGAGATGAGGTCTCGCCTGCCCAGGCGGGTCTTGAACCCGCGGGCTCAGGCAATCCACTCACCTCAGCCTCCCAAAGGCGTGGGGTTACAGGCTGAGCCACCGAGCCCGGCTGGTCTGATATTTCTATGGCTCTGTCCTTGTCTTGCCTCTGATGGAGATTTGCTGAGTGGGTAGGGGAGGCTGCTGCTTGGCCTGCAGTAGAATGTCTGAACGCTTCCTAAAATCTGCCTATTGGAAATTTATCTGTGTCTAATCTGTGTTAGATTCAAAGCGTGTCAGGGTTAAAGTCTAAGCAAAAAGGGCTAAGCTGAGGCAAAAAAACTAAGCTGAGAGTAAACTAAGTTTATTCTAGGTTTCTAGAGGTACCACATGGTCTTGAGCACAGGACTTGGGTGGGTGATGAGCCTTCGGTGCGTCTCTGTTAAGGGATACCGGGGATAGGCTGGGCTCGGTGGCTCAGCCTATAATCCCAGCACTTTGGGAGGCCGAAGTAAGTGGATTGCCTGAGCCCGTGGGTTCGAAATCCGCCTGGGCAACTTGGTGAGACCTCATCTCTACGATAAATCAAAAAATCAGCCGGGCGTGGTAGTGCATGCCTGTAATTCCGGCTACTTTGAAGGCTGAGGCGGAAGGATCGCCGGAGCCCAGCAGGTCGAGGCTGCGGTGGCCGGGAGTCGCCACTGCACTCCAGTCTGGGTGACAGAGTGAGAACAACTCAAAAAAAAAGAACTCTTAGAACTCAACAACAAAAAGACAACCTGAGTCAAGAATGGGCAAAGGACTTGATTAGACGTTTCTCCAATGATAGGTTGCCAACAAGCACATGAAGAGCTACTCGATGTCATTAGGAAAATGTGCATCAAAGCCACAAGATACACTTCACACCCATTAGGGCAGTGGTCTCCCACCTTTTTGGTATCAGGGACTGGTTTTGTGGAAGATAATTTTTTTTTTTTAGTCGGAATCTCACTCACCCAAGCTGGAGTGCAGTGGCATGCTCCCGGCCACCGCAGCCTCCACCTGCTGGGCTCAGGCGATCCTTCCACCTCAGCCTTCCAAGTAGCCTGAACTACAGGCATGCGCCACTACGTTTGGCTAATTTTTTGACATTGTAGAGATGAGGTCTCGCCAAATTGCCCAGGCTGGTCTTGAGTCCGTGGGTTCAGGTAGTCCTGTCACCTTGGCTTCCCAACGTGCTGGGATTATAGGTGTGAGCCACCGTGCCCGGCCTGAGAGATCATTTTTCCACGACAGTGGGAGAGATCTTCAGGCATTCGATTCTCATAAGGAGCGTGTACCCTAGATCCCTTGCATGCGCAGTTCGCAATAGAGTTCGCTCTCCTATGAGAACCTAGTGCCGCTGCTGATCTGACAGAGGGGAGAGCTCTGCTCGCCACTGCTCACTTCCTGCTGAGCGGCCTGGTTCCTAACAGTACCAGTATGTGACCTGGGGCCCAGGGACCTTTCATGAGGATGGCTACGGGTTGGAGAAGGCATGCACAAACGATCTCGCCCCTGCTGAAGGGAATGTATGCAGCCGCTTTGGGAAACAGACAATTCCACACAAAAGTAGTTACCGTTGGGTTCCACTTGCGGGTATAGGCACGAGAGAATTGAAAACATGCCCAGCACAGACCTATACACACATGCTCATGGCAGCATTAGGCGTGAGTCAGAGAGAAAACAAGCCAAACATCCAGCAGTTTCCAGTCACTGAAAGGAATGAAGCGCTAATGCACGCGACAACACGGACGAGCCTTGAACCGTTAAGCTAAGTGAAAGAAACTGGCCACAAAAGCCCACACCATGTGGTCCCACTCTCTGAAATGGCCATGAACGCAAATCCGTGGAGATGGGAAGGAGATGAGCCGTTGCTAGGGGATGGAGAAATGGGTACAGCTGCTTTTTTGGCGGGAAGGGATGAAAGGTTCTGGAATTGGCAGCGATGGTTGCACAGCCTGGTCAATATAGTAAAAGCCACTGAGCTGTGAGTTTTATGTAATATCAAAAAAGACACATGCTGGGGTGAACCCAGGGGAGCAGTGTAAGTGGAGGTGCTGTCAAGGGCTGTGTGGTCCTTTCTCAGGGTCAAGGTTCTCCCTTTAGACAAGGGAAGGCCAGGCTCGGTGGCTCAGCCTGTCATCCCGCGCCTTGGGAGGCTGAGGTGAGTGGATTGCCTGAGCCTGTGCGTTCGAGACCCGGTTGGGCAACTTGGCGAGACCGCATCTCTACAATAAATCAAAAAATTAGCCGAGCGTGGTAGTGCGTGCCTGTAGTTCCGGCTACTCGGAAGGCTGAGGCGGAAGGGTCGCCGGAGCCCAGCAGGTTGAGGCTGTGGTGGCCGGGAGGGGCCGCTGCACTCCAGTCTGGGTGACGGAGTGAGACTCCAACTCAAAAACAAAAAACACAGACAAGGGAAGAAGGCTGAGCTGGGAGGATGTGGCTTCCAAGGGAGGGGGGAGAAGAGGGCGGGCCAGATGGGGCTGCCCGCCAGAGGGTGCAGGAATCTCAGGCATGCGGCCCTGAGCCCTGTTTCCACAGGCTGTGCCCTCCTCAGGGCTGGGAGACTGGGCGGGACGCCAATCCAGACGTCAGACGAGGGAGGCCTGGGTTCATCTGGGGGTCAGTGGGCCCTCTCCCTCGGCCACGGCGGGGGGCAACTGGGCCCTGTCCTGCCCCGCACCAGAGTCCACCAGCTCCGCCCCCTGGGGCGGGCTGGACCGGGAGGGGTGGGGGTGCGTTTGCACTTTCAGGTCTTTCCAGCCCTGGCTGCGGCAGCCTGACTAACCAGCTCCTCCAGGCCTGAGGGGCGGGCCGTGGGTGCTGCTTACCTGCGGCCGCCAGACCAGCCCCTGACCTCCAGGTGCTGGCCACGACCATGGGGCAGTCTCCCCTGGCCCTGCTGCGTCTCCTCGTGGTGCTGAGCGGGTCCCGGTCCAGCCTGAGCCTGGGTGAGTGAGGGTCCCGGGAGGGATGCCCCTGGCCACACCCACGTGGAGGGGCGCCGGCTGGGGCGAGTGGACCCTGGGAGCGCAGGCCCCTCCGACTGGGAGAGGCCGCCTCGGGAGCAGTGGGCTCCCGGACCCCCTGCTCACGTCTGTCCCTTGTGGCCACAGATCTGATCCCCTACACGCCTCAGGTCACAGCCTGGGACATGGAAGGCAAGGTCACCGCCTCCACCTTCTCCCTGGAGCAGCCCCGCTGTGTCCTCAACGGGCATGCCAGCACCACTGACACCGTTTGGCTCGTGGTGGCCTTCAGCAACGGTGCGGGGCAGCTCTGGGCCTGGGTGAGGGAGGGAGCCGAGGAGAGTGGCGGGTCCTGGGAGCCCCTGGCTAGCATCTTTGATTATTGAGCACCTGCGGGGGCCGGTGGGAGGGTGAGTGTGGATTCGGCTTCATCCCGAGGGGTTGGTGCCTCTGGACTGTCTCTGGGGGCCGAGGGAAGGGGTGTCGTGGGGGTCCGTGCTGGAGGCTGCGGCCAGGGGGGCTGGAGACCAAGAGAACACAGGTCCCCCACTCGGCGTGACAAGGCCCGTCTCCCTTCCCCTCCCTGCTGTCTGTCCCTCCATCCTGCAGCCTCCAGGGGCTTCCAGAACCCAAAGACGTCGGCCGAGATCCCGGCCTCCCCACAGCTGCTGACCGAGGGCGCCTACATGACCCTGCCCCTGTCCCTGGAGCAGCTGCCCTGCGCGGACGCCGTGGGAGGCCGTGGAGGCGTCCCCCTGCTGCGGGTGGGCAATGACTACGGCTGCCAGCAGCAGCCCTACTGCAACGCGCCCCTCCCCGGCCCCGGACCTTACCGGTGGGTCGACCCCGGGGCCCTGGGACTGGGGCTGCGCTGGGAAAGGAGGGGCTTCTGGAGGTGGGGCCACCCTCCCTCGTGTCCTCCCATTCGCAGGGCTGGGCTCCCTTGCAGGGCAGACAGCAGCACTCCTCCAGGCAGGGTGGGAGCCAGGCAAGGTCTGAGAGGGGGAGGGGGCCCCCAGGAGAGACGGGACCTTAGCCGAGATGGGCGGGAGCTGCTTCAGAGGTGTGGTCACTGCCAGGTCCCTCCCACGAGCTCTGGCAGGAAACAGCCTGGGGGCCGGGTTCAGACCCAGTGCAGTGGGTAGGCAGCGGGGAACGCCAGAGAGATGGTGCCCACCTCCTTTACCGATGAAGAAACGGAGGCACAGGGTGCCTCGTGGCCTGTCAAGGTCAGAGTAGAGCCAGGATGGGACAGCAGGTGCCTCTTTGGTGTCTAGATCAGGACCGTCCAGCCACAAGAAGAGGCCAGGTTTCCCTAGGGAGGCCCCAGCCTGGGGGAAGCAGGGAATGCAGGGCGTGGCACGGTCAACCCAGCGTCCCTCTGCCCTCTCACCCATTCTCCGGGTCCATCTCTCCCCTTCCCTGGCCACACCCTGGCTCGGCCTCCAACCCCAGCCCACGCCTGTTCCCAGAAACCACCAAAGCCGGCTTCCTCCAGGGCTAGGTTGCCGGGTCCCGCACTGCTGCTCAGACTTTCCAGAGCTCTCACCCGGCAAAGACACAACTCGGCCCTCAGCCCCGGCCTCTCGGTGACTCTGAGCACACCCTTGCCTCCTGCCCCCCTCAGGGCCAGTGCATGGTGCCCTCTCCTACTGGGGGTCCTCCGTCCCCTCTTCCCTGGTCTCACAGACTCTTCTCCACCAGCACTGCCCCTCGGGGACGTCCCGTATGTCTCACTGAGCCACCTTCACCTTCTCTCTGTTTTCGTGACATTTAGGGACAGGGCCCCTAAAGCAGCCTCCCAGGCCCAGATCGGGGAGCGTGACTGCCCCGGCGAACGGGCGCTGCTGGCGAAACCCCCATGGCCAGAGAGGTCTCGGAGGCTTCTCAGAGCAGGGCCAGGCCACAGCTGGTCCCCACAGGCCCCAGCCTCCCCACACACGGAAAAGGCCCACGACCTGGCCCAGAGGAGCTGCCCAGGGCCTAGCCTCGGCGCATGGGGCCGGGTGCCCTGCCTAGGGCAGCCAAGACCTCTGAGTCTCACCCCTTCGCCCCTCCTGTCTCCTGTTCCCAGTGTGAAATTCCTCCTGATGGATGC